AAAAAAAAAAAAAAGAAACTATTCGACGAAGGAAAAAAAAAAAAAAAATAAAGAAGATATAGATACATTAAAAATCGCGACATCATTTTATAAACACGATTTCTTTTTTTTCCTCACCCTGATGGATGGAAGGAGGAATCGATCGAGCGCGCCGATCGAGATTTCCCTCCTTGTTTCTCTCGCGAGGCCAGAAGAATTTTCCCTTCTTGGCCACCACGCTTGGTGGAAAATAACGTAAATGTACAGAGCACGTGTGAAACGCAAGCTACATCGACCGAGCATCTTCGTGAAACGTTTCGATCATGGTCGAACGAGAGCATGTCTGAGCGAAGTGAAAATTATATTAGATCGGTGGAAAAGATCGTTTTATCAAACGTTAAAAAATATCTCCCTTTCTCTTTTTTTAATATCACTTGTCTTCTTTGACAATTGATATTAATTTTTCGATATTTAAAAATTAATATCACTTGTCTACTTTGACAATTGATATTATTTTTTTCGATACTTAAAAATTTCGAACAACGAAATTTTCAGCTTCTAAATAATTCAATCAACAATCAACGTACGATCTTTCTCCTCGAGCTAATATTGAAAAACGATCAGAAAAAAAAAAAATTCTCGTAACTTTTAAAAAAAAGCATTCGTCCTCAAATCAATCTTCTCTCCTTTTTTTTTTTTTTTTTTTAACAACGAGTCGACTCTCGAGCGACCATGGCCGATTGACAAACGCTCTCTCCGCATCTTTGAACATTCGTTTCGTTTAATAGAAGAATACCGAATTAACGATAATTAAGTACACAGTCTGAGCGCACGCGCGAGCGCCTGCTCTGCACCTATGGCACAATGTATTCACGTCGATTTCATTCTCGTCTATACGTGCGACTTTCGTCTCGAGAAACGCGCTCGAGAAGACGCTTCGCGCGTTACGTGCGTCCGGTCGATCGTTCGATAAGCGTAATTGAAGCGAATCCTCGCGCGGACGGTCGGGCGAGCAACATTTCATCTCTTTCCGAATATATGTATATGTATATATGTACATATATATATATTCCATAATCATAATAAGTACAGAAACTCTTTTCGTTGGAGGAAAAAAAAAAAAAAAAAATATATAAAAAATAAAACATGAAACATAAAACAACACGAAAAGAGAGTACATACAAGAATGAAGAATATCGCAGCATCAACGATGAATCGTAATAAGATAATCTACGTTTCTATTACGCGATCAAAAAATGTTTACAAAGAAACGATTATCGACGAATCGATCGATTTCGAACGATTCTTAAATGGAAGACGCAACAAACAAAAAGAAAAAAAGAAAAAAAATGTACAATTCCGCGCGATAGTCGAAAAAAAATAATAATAATGATAAAAAATATATAGTAACGAACAAACGTGGCGGGACATATAAAAATTGCTTCGAAGCGTAGTATTGTAAAAATTGAGCGTTGTTTTACGTACAATATAATCGTTAGAATCGAATAGAAAAACACCGATTATGAGCATGATTT